CAACAGCAGCATGAACGCGAAGAACAGCAACAAGTAAATAAGCGCCTTGATGCGATTTGTACTGTTATGGTGATGACAAACGGTCCCCACTCCCCGCATCATCCATCGCCCAAGCACTTTGTGGAAGGCATAGCTGGCTGCTTTGGTATTCGTATCTCGTCAAGTTCGATCGATTATTTTACATGATTCTTCGTAGGATGGGATATATCATCGCCATGGTCGGTGCCACCGCCACCTCAGCTGGCTATAGGTCCAAACACAGCTGCCTAGGTCGGGTCCACAATCTCTGAAAGGGGAATGCAGCCGACCGCTCCCGACTCCCAGGTGTCACGATGGTGGCATATGGACCTAGCCACTTGTTGGCCAGCTTGAATGTGTTACACAGGTTGGCACATGGCGGTGGCACCAGACCGACCGGGCACGTTAACCTACATTGGTAGTCTTCGTCCTTCACATATATAGTGGGCTGGTCGGGCGAACCAGGTGGGTTGAACGACCCATGTTGGCATATTGGATTCTTGCTTCGTCATCTTTCCAATGGAGTACAGCTTGAAGATGCTTGAAATTCTTGAGGGTTGCAGTGTTTTGATGGGCTCGCGGCTCGGGCAAAGTACCGATAGTCGGCCACACACAAACGACATGGGCATGGGCGGCATGGGCTCCCGTCAAAGCGCCCTCAGGGAGAATTAAAACCAAACGCTAGGCCATGCTAGGCCTCCTCTGACTCCACGTATTCACGAAGGGAGAAACAAACCCGTCGTGTGAAAATCTCCCAACTGCAGCCCTTCAACATGCCATTCTCCCAAAAGAGTGCCTCGGTCCGAGGACGCCTGTGTTGCTTTTCTCCAGCAACAGTGGATCCCACTTGCCACTATATAACCGGTTGGTTTCGTTCGGTCTACGGTTTTGGTCTTTGGAACCACTGGTTAACACAGTAGGGGTAATACTGGATTCACTGCGTAGTATAAACGTCTTTGACTTACAGTATTTGTTCGATTCCAAGTCCAGACTTTGCTAGTCTTCGACTGCATCTGCATTCTGCATCTGACCTCAAGAAACGATAGACCGCCCACCCGCGAACCATCGAAAAGGTCATTAATCCCTCGCCTGCGGCATTGATGGCTGCTTGCAACTCAGCCTGAGCAAGGGCATCAACATGTCTGGTTCCGGGCTGAGGACTCTGCAGTGGATCAAAACCAAACCTCTCCGTGCACTGAAGTCATCAGCTGGTATCCTCCCTCTAGTGGCTGGTTGATAGTGGAAATATAGCAAGGCGAAGCTTTCATCTCCACACTAAGGTTCTCTGGCTCACCTGCCGATGTTCCCCCATGTTCCCTCCTACAGTTGGTGGTTGTGAAGATTATGAACATGGCCTTAAATTTACTCTTCAACACTAGCTTCTGAGGTCGTTTACAACCGCCCAAGCAAATGTATTGTTTTGTAAATGTCGCCCGTCTTTTACCTGCGGCCCTTTCTATGCCCAAAGGTGTATGAAACCTCCTTCGAAAAGAGTGAGAAAAGCTGCAAATGTTTAGTCATTTGCTCGAGTTGCAACCTGCATAAGGCCTCTATGGATGTGGACACAACTCCACTCCCAATGGGTTATTTCTTCAAGTTTACAGGGGGCAAGCATTTTAGGATACATTTTTTGATCTGTTTAGCCTTTTGTCTTCAAAGATGCTCACAATTACCCAGTCTGCAAAGAACGCACCTCATTTCTCCATTGCCGACCCCAGCCGATCAGTTCAATCTTCCATCGGGTGGCACATGCAACGGGCTCAGGCCCAACCCATAGCCCAACGGCTCAGGCTGAGATCCCCCTGCAACGTCCACCGCCACGCGCCGGGCATTTCGCACCTGCAGCGCTTGCAACGAGTCCCGACCTTCCACTGGTCCAGAGGATCCTGGTGGTGGAGTAAACGAATGTCCTTTGTCCGAATGGGCTCCATGTTTGTTTCGCAAAGGATCACAAAGGCAAACACAACTATAGGCAAAAAAAGGCAAGTGTTGAACGTTTTCTTACTGCCTACACGTCAATCAACACATGATGGTTCTTATCAAATTCCACATGACCAAATTCAATGAATGAAGCTAATAACACAACTGTGAATGAAACTAGGGACAACTCAAGTTTCGCAACCTTTTTGCCCACGTGGTGTCTCCATCTCTCAGGACTTTGCTTGGCCTTCATCATACAATGCTCAATCTATGTATCTAGCTCCTTTGCACGTTGCACACATGAGCGATGCTTTAAAAAGCCTCGGCCCCTGCTTGCAAGTGTGTTGTGGGGACGTGAATCCGTGAAGACTCAAGACTTGGATATCATCCTTTCAAGTCTCAAACCCAGAGGTGCCACTGTCTCTGCAATCCACGCTCGATAGGTGCAAAGGTGTATCAGGACGTCGAGCATGTATGAGGAGGGCGACTGGATATGACAGGCAATGGCCCTGCAGACATTAAAGGGTCAAGATGGGTCAAGGGGGCCAGGAGTACAAGAAGAACTCACAATAGAACATGTGGCTTCTTAATTGATCTCATGCAGAACTAAACAAGATGTTCATGGATGTTTTCACACATTAGATCGCGATGTACCGGGCGCGATGGAAACGAAAGTGTCCTCATCTTAGCTCCTTCCCACTCCAACAATGCCCCTTTTTTACCCGGCTCTGGGCAAGGTCGTGTCCAGCGAAGAAATCAGGTTTCACAATTTAATTTAAGCCAACATGAACTCCGAAACTATCCGAAATTCATCAAAAATCATCTTTTTAAGGTACTCTTCCCTTACTTACTCAAAGGGCCCAGCGAGCTGCCAGGGAGCTTTCAGCGAGCCTCCAGCACAAAGGGCCGCCCTGCACCCAGCATACGAACATCGATGTCCTAGCCAACAAGTGGACGTTTGTGTGGGATCCCGGGCTAACTCTAGGTGAGCCCAAGAAATAGTCTGGGGACGTGTGAAAACTACAGCCCTACAATGCTCTTCAGTACTCCGTGGTCCTATGTAGTACTGCCTATACAAAGCTATTGCCTGAGAAACTTAGATCTCGCTCCAAACATCAAAAGATTTGGGATGCTTTGGTCCATTTTGGCCAATTCTTTCAGAACGCTGCCACCAGTGGAGTGAACCGTCCGTCCGTCGTGACAAAGGTCTGTCCGTCCATCACCTAGCTCAGCTGGCCGCTGGCCTCCCGCCCCTCCGCGTGAAAGCGGACCTGCCGGGGATGCTTTGGGGTGCCCAAATGGACGGCGCTGTGGTAGTAGCGATCATGCGTCTGATAGTCCGATTAGCGGAAAAGTCGCCTGCAGTGTGGATAGTCAAGTTCTGGCCGAACTGTTGGACATCGTAGGCTAGAAACCTCTCAATACATCCAGCAAACCAGCTATTTCCCCCCAGGTAACACCCAAACTTGGCTGAAGATTGCAATGGACAGCATGATTCCACTCCTACTCAGTATGAGTGGCTGTGTGGAATGTCATGTATCCAATATGCTGTTCAAATCCCTCTTAAACCCATGAGAGGCTGGTTCATCCCCTAACTTCACTGGACAACTTGTTGTTATTTTAGGAGTTGCGTTTACAGGAGACACATGTTTCATCATTTGTTGATACAGCTATTTTATACAACTATTTAACTATACGTATACCATTTCTAGAGGCCTTACTGGCCATCACTAACCATCACACCCACTGTTGCAAGCTGGTGGCAAGGTCCAAAGTAGGTGTGAATCGTCTGTTTGGGAGTTGTTTCGTTCAGTAAAAGAAGGTGCCGATCCTGTTGAGGCAACCAAATAACTTAGCACTGTCCGGCCCAATTCCGTTGTGAACTACTTTGATTGACCAAAGAAGTTCACAAACTTGCTTGGGGAAGAGAAGGTAAAAGTGATGCCCTATAATCTGTTACCAGTCCTTCGAGTTGAGTACCCTTGAGGACGGGACGGGGTGTGTGTTACGATAGCGACCAAGAGGTACATAACTTGTTTTTACACACGTGACACAATCGTTTCCCTGTATTTCCGTGAGTCAGGTGTCCGTAGAATCTAAGACTTGCTTCCCCTAGTTCTGAGTGCCCCCAACAAAAGCTGAACATCAGAATTCAGGGGCTGCACAAGCGATTGAATCAAAAGGAAACACTAGTAATGCACATGGCAAATCTACACAATGAGAAACCAAAGCAACTCCAATGTGTTCTCCCAAAGCCCCTGTTATTCCCAAGCCTCTGTGCCGTCTTGTGTAAGACAGCGCCCTTCGCTGCGCCTCTGAGGCGCCCAAGTGTTTGGCTACCGGCTGGGCCAAGTCTTCCTGACACTGAGGAGTGGGGTCACCAGCGTCGCCGCCGACAACGCAAAGCGCTGGTGAAAACAAAAATTATTGGCTGGATAAAAGGAAAGCAATGGTGTCGGCTGGCTAGCTTGGTCTAGTTTATCGAATGGGTTTATTAGTAACTCACGAACTAGGCCTCCATGAACAAGTGGCTAGAGGGGAGGAGTTTATCTGGTTCAGGTAGATAGACGCACCATATATAATCGTAATTAATTAGTCATCCTGAGATTGTAGAATGTGGAACATGCCAGTCAGTGTAGCAGAATAACCGTCCTATAGAACATTAAACATCAAACACAGACTTGTCATTTCATATTGTTGTCTGCGGGAGCCTGGCTCTGTAATTAAAGGTCTTGACAATGAGCCGTTACCTACTGTAGTGGGCCAGCAAACTCCCTTGGTCAAACATCGGTCGCATCCTTCTTTCGGACTTCATGTAATGTCGCGGTTTCCCGACCAACGCCGGAAGCTCGCAACGGTGGTGGGATTCCCTCAAATCCTCGCTGCTGGTGAGACTCTGTTCTGTCTGAAACCCAGGACGGATCAAACAAATAGCCGTCAATTTTGATCCATTCTTGTTGCGGTAGTTGTGTCGATCACTTTGCAACCATGGGACCATGGGGATCAAGTGTGAGGTAGAAGTTAGCAAATGACACCTTGAGAATCCGGGATCTTGTCATTATGGAAGGTCGGGTGATTCTGAACATGCCCGTCCCAGGTGGCAGTTCTAAACAGTGGCTAGGTCTGTCTGGCAGACTCTATCCTACTCGGTCTCCATTTCCTGACGCTTGTGCATGATAGACGATGAAAGAGCGCCATTCTTGCAAATCCAGCAAACAAATAATAACAATAATACGACATTCACCGCCAACAGGGCAAAGAAGGCCACAACTTCGTTCACAGGTGCATATCCGCAAGAAGTCGTGGCCACTGTCAGGCCCAGAAGGCCATAGATGATCATTTCGATGTATCGGCCAATCAAACAAAGAAACCACGCACGTTTCTCTGATTGGGATTTCTCCGGGTCCGCCACTTGGAAAAATGAAACAGGCACCAAATGTCCGAACAACAAATACGAGCATCCCGTCTCAGAACCACCTGCACAACAAACGAGTGCAGTGAGGCCTACCAGGAAGAGCACCGCCAGGGTGATGCCGATGGGCCTCACGGCATCGGACAAGATGAATGCGTACGCGGAGGCACGGAGAAGTTGATCCGTTGCCAGGAAGAAGAACACCAGGATCTTCTCTTTCAGATCCAGAAATGAATATCTTTTTGCGATTCCGTAGCTGAGGGATGATGCCGAGACAAGTGTAGAAAACACATTCACAAAGTGTCCGTGAGCTCCGACTGCAAATAGGATGTAGCTTTGCAAATATAGTTGGGGTGCACATTCTGTGAGCTTCACAATCACATCTCTCAGCATTGCTGGAGTCGCTTCACCGTCTCCTTTGTCGTTCGGGTCATCATCTTGGGTGGCCAGCCACACATCGCGGACATAACTCAACTGGCAAAGAGACACAACGCCCCATGTCACGGAATCAGAGAACCCACCGTAAAAACAGGCCTGCACAAGTGTCGAGACTACCAGCAAACTCAACCCGATCCCAAACCACCACCAATGAGGTTGGCACAATGCCTCTTCCTCGAGCGTGATGGTAGCGTTTGTGGTGCTGTTCGTTGAGTTTGAAAGAAACACGTCCTGATTGTTGCAGGAAATCGTGAGGCTGTTATTGGTGAAGCACCCATAGCTTAGCACGACGATGACCTCAGATTTGACAAATGCTTGAAAGGTTAATATACGCGCGCAGGTTTCGGGCACATAAGCGAAACAAAACAATCCCTTCAGGCTTCAGGAGGAGGTCTGGTATTGCTACCAAGAAACATCTGTGACGATGTCCAAATAATTGAGCCCCATGTTCACAAGGCGGTCAGCTACCTTCACCGTCTTCGGGTACGACTCCTTCATCTCCATGGCTTTCGCCTTCATCTCCGTAGCTCTCTTCATGGCTTGTGAACCTCAATCGAGCGGCCCCGTACAGTTCCTTGGGAAGCTGACGACTCTTGGGCCATGCTGCTACAAACAGGCTCGACATGGCTCAGCATGCCCCACAAATATGTCCTGTTGGTGGATCAAAACCTGTACCAACCAAAGTCGTGCTTGTTAGAGATTTTGTTGTGACTGAATGTCTCAACATGTTTCAGCAAAGGAGAAAAAAGAGGAACCATTGAGGAGGGAAACCATATTTATCAAAACAACAGCTCACTCCATCCACCTAATGCTATCCTCCACAACACCACAACGCCAACGCCACTGCCAGCGCTGTCTCTGCACCTCCACGGAGCCCTCGCCCTTACGTTCGCCCTCGATGAGCCATGGCGACTGCGGGAGCCTTCGAACAAGAGGAGGCGTTGGTTGCCGTCAGAAGGGATGTTTTGGACAATGCAAGGTTGGGTAGATCGGCATATCTTCTTAATAAACTATATATTAAAAACTATTAATATATATATGAGGGATGGTCAAAACTCCTTATTCTTCTTCAGCTAAAAAATGGACGTCATCGGTTTTGAGGTGGACCTTATCGTTTTACAGCGTTTTGAGTTCGTCGCATACTTATGACCATATACAGCGCTGGGGTTATCGGTTTTGAGGTGGACCTTATCGTTTTGCAGAGTTTTGTGCACAAACCTACCCCTCTTTACTAAAGTGGTCTTCGCATGTTTTGACCGTGGCTCATATATATATCTATCATACATTACATAGCACTATATAACACTGAATACCAACGTGATGTCTGCTACTGCCATGTTTCGTGCGAATGTTTTGTCTCATTTCCGGCAACAGTGGATAGGATTGCTATTTCTGAAGAGATGCCTTAGTTTGCCTCAATCCTTCGTGTACCAGGACCATATAAGCCACCAACCGCAAGTTTGACAAATCTGGAAACAGGTGGAGTTTGGACAAAACTTATTCCAGGTTTAGGTCCTCAGGTGCTTTTCTGCGCCCAAAATAGAGATGTGGAGGACAACGGAGAACGGATCTTGATTTTATTCCTTCTGGAAGTAAGGTTGAGTCGTACCATGTCGTACCCTACTTCCGATCCCAAATGGTCTGACATTACTCGCCAGACCTACGTGTTCCCATCACAAAGAAGGGTGATTAGAACCGACAAATATGGATCTCTGTGGCTGTCCACCCCTCTTTGCTTCCGGAGAGTCACCCTGATTAGCATTGACATCTCTGCACGCAATCGTGGGATCTGTGTCAACATCATTGACAAACAGTTAATCACCTCACACAGGTGCTCTTCATTCGATGCGTCGGTCTTTTGAACAATCCCCAGCATGTGATGGGTTAAACATGCTTAAACAATTAACAGGCCAGCCGTGGTTGCTGTGTCCTCTTTGTCTGTGGATAGGGCCTCGATCTTTTCTTGGCACGTGATACCAACAAAGGCTGACTATGGACTATCCCATAGATAGGTACCCCAGTAGGATCCTTTTTCAGGTCACTGAACCTTTCTTGGAAAACACCCGTTGCAGGTCTTCGCGACCTGCTCTTCGCCCCTCTCCTCCGTGAAAGCTTCACGTAACGGCCGCGGAGGAAGATTCCCTCCTGAAGCAAAGCAAGGCACACAAGCATTCTGGATGGGAGTCTATCAGAACATAATAGAACAGGGTTGAACAATTTAGAGCATTGTCCATTTACTTGGGGGTATGACTTTGTCAAGTTCTGTGTGAATTGTTGATGGATGTTGGATGGGATTGAACACTGAGCATTCCAAATCCCACAAATCCTACAAGATGGCTCAACTCCCACAAGCTGCATGTAGATAGGACATAATAGTGCTGTGATGCGGGGTGCCTTCTTGGGGCCCTTTACAATCTCTATGACTCTATGAAACACAGGAACGTACAATGAAGCAGCCATTGGGATAACCCCCTGACCACATGTGATGAATGGTTCATTACTGTCCTCATCTGAGATCGGAAGTTCCTCGTGATGTCTAAAGGTAAACATACTGCTTACATGAAAACACCTCATATTCATGTGTGTTATTTGTTCACCTATATGACTCTATGAAATTCCTTCCGGCGGTGAAGGCTTTTCAAGCATCATGCATTCCCAGCCTAAACCTGGTACACCCTGCAACAAAAGCGCACAGATACATATCGCATCATATCGCTATACGATGCTATACGGCTATACGATCTACCTTTAAGGAGTCATTTAGCAACAAGAAGTGGTAGTGAGACAGAATTCGGATGGACTCCTATCACCAGTGAGTCCATAGTTTGATCATCCACGCCTAGTCTGCTCTCCCACCTGTCGGCTGATCCGCCACTGCAAAGTGGCGCTCTGGGTCCCATCTATCTCGAAGCCTGGGAGATGATCCAAAGAAGCATCATTGGACATGAGACACACACACAATGTGAGATTCTATGCTGATTGCTTGGGGAATCCTCACTCCCAACTGGCGGGGTTTGACTATTCTTAATACAGGTCTATGATTTGACTTAACAAAGGTGAAATGGAATGTTCTCACTTTTGATTGGCGTGTCTTTATTGTCACCTTGTTTAGACGGTTGTTGTGAGTGTTTTTTTCCTGTTACAAAGCTCGGAGATTGCCCTATCTCGCAGACCTGCCAGTTTCCGTTCCAAACAACAAATACTCTGCATATACTCTGCAAGAAGACATACTCATGGTCGATCTGCTAACAAGTCGCAAGCGAGGCAAGCGCTGCTCTCAAGAATCTCGATCGAACATTCCAACTCAACAAATCTTGGTTCCCAAGCATTACAAACTGTATAAAGCGACTGACAGAGCAGCAAAATTTGGAATATCACACTTAGAACTATCTCCCGGCATACTTTCTAAAGATGTTCTTATCAAAGTGTTGTTCTAAGTATGTGTCCGTCACTATCCAGTATGGGCCTTTCAGTGCATTACAGCTGGACTCACGTGAGTCATGACTCATGTATCCCTGCCGTTTGCATGCTTCTCAGTGTCCTGGGATCATCAACTTCTGTCATGGTCCATTCCACACCCATGGATAGCTCACATAGCTGGATGGATAGTAGTGTTTGAACCCAACACCCCCGTTTTTTGTCCATCGCCATACACAAACCACCTGAACGATCCAACCCTCGCTGAGTGAAACTTGACGGAGGTTCATCGACCTTTGCCATTTCTGAAATATTGACCCGTAGCCCATAACCATCTGTTCCCAGGAGAAACGCATAGAAATACACTATTACCCTCAAAGCCTGCAACATCCTGCCAAGACTTGATTATATAGATCCTCTGAACAGTTTGGACCAGCTTTAAAGGGAACTGTTAGCGACCTTGCGTAAGTGTATGTGACATGGACTTTGTTTGGATCTACAGCTTGCATCTGTTTGGCTATGCTGTCTGATGTCTGGTATGAATCAGTCCACCCTGGGTGCCTTGCAAGGCCCGGACATAGGATGTTTAGCTGTTGCCGGATGGCCATAAAAGGGAACAGCTAGTTGAACCAACCCCCCCAATCTCCCAGCCAGGGCATTCAGAATGGTCATCTCTCACCGGCTTGCCAACTTTATGCCAACTTCGCTGTTCCCGGCTGTTAAGAGTGAACATGAGGACCAGCTGGTTAAACCAAGCCGAATCTCCCAGTCAGGGCGGACGGTCTGCCCCTCCCAGGTCTTCCCGGCCTTCCTTCAGGTCTGCCAGGCCCAGCTTGCTACACAGCTCCTCCGGTGTAAGGCCTTCCAGTGCCTCTCCGAGCCGACGCAACGGACGAATCGACCTCGACCAGTCGACCGACCAGTCGACGCATCTGGCTAAGCTTCCACCCTGTCGCACACGGGCGACAAGGCCCGCCTTCCTTCCAATGGACGGTTCATCTTCATGCACAATGCGTTTTGTGCTCTTGTTCTTTCACTTTTGTGGCAGGAGCTGCACATTTACTGCACAGATTGTAGTGCCGATCCCGGAAGTCACCGTGATGAACTCAAAATTGTTCTGGCTCAATCTGGCTTATGAAACATTGCTGGGCATCTTCGTCCCAGAAACTTCACACTACCAGAATTTGCATGAATTTGCCACTTATGTCCGAATCCAAGTTACAAGTTGAATCCTAGTTATTTACATTAATTGACCAATAAAATGTAAGAACTTATTCACTGCCTCCCTCCGAACCCGCACCGCACCTGCACGATACCAGCAGAGTTCAGGTCCATTGGCTCCTGAGTCGATTCGAGGTTTGACGAGACATGCGAAAGGATCCCTGCCTGAACCATCCTGTCTGGGTGTCCTGTCTGGAGATCCTTAGGTAGTATAGAGTAGTCCAGCCAGGACACCCAGACTGGATGGTTGTGGTAGTCGAATGTAGTGGCTACCTGGTTTGGGCTTGGGAGATGTTTGATGATTTGTTGATGTTTCTCCTGTTCCTTAATTAAGCAAATCCAAGCTTAAGACACCCGTCTACAATTTCTGAAGATCAGTATACTTCTCTCCCGTGGAAGGAAGGACATCATGTACATTTCCGAGGGATAAAGGAAAAAAATGGGGGACACTCTAACATGTCGCTTTAGGATCGTTTCACCGGATGCATCTGTTCGATCAATTCTCGAGATAGAAACTGGGAAACTGGTTGAAGCAGTGACTCCTTGTTGAAGCAGTGACTCCTTGTTGAATCCATCCAAACCACAGCCCAATTTTTTATGGAGAATCCATCCAAGCCACAGCCCATTTTGAGCAAAAACATTGTTGAATAACCATAGGAACAAGAAGCTACTAACTACCAAACTGCCCTACACTGGATTGATTCCTTTCGCTCCTCTCGACGTCGCTTCTTTGACCGTCCTGAGGGCCTGCAGGTCGCCGGCGTCAGAAGGGGCGAGAACTGGAGGTCACTTGCAATGGAGGAAAGAACAGTCGATGCCTAGAAGTTGGGTTGAAGAGTTGCACAAACAGATTGTGAAGTTATTTCAGAAGATGTCATCCGGCATAAGTCACTGGGTTTCTCAAACTTGCTGCGGTCATTGGATATCACGTTTTCTGCTTGAGAATGACTACAGCTCTTTGGACCTTGTTGAGAGCTCATGGCTCCAAACAGTGCTTCAGGATTGCAAATCGACTCCACGCATCACAGCATGAACAATATGAACATAGTCTGCCTGGACATGTTCATGGTTTTGCCACATGTTTTCTATGGACACTCCCAGGCTGGAAGGTTGGATGTAGGATGAAACACCGCAAAGATGCTGATTCCGGATTCTGACGACAGATTGAACAAGACTGGCTGACGAAATCGGACAAGACTACAATCTGC